TTGAAACCATGATATTTCTCCTACAGATCTGTTGAAACATCAAACGTTTTTGTAGGCCTCCTAAGAATTATTTGTAGATGAATAAGTTAATAGTATGAGATTCTTTTTCCTAATTTAAAGATTCCTAAACTTACATTATTTTCCAGGTGAAGTGAGCTCCTGAAATAAAGAAAAGAATTAATAAGATAATATATTGAAAATGAAATATCGAGAATTCTGTTAATGATATACTGCGTTTGGTAATTTAAAGCGGTTAGTTTTACCATATTATAGTTTCAGCTCCAGTAAAACTGAGATCAAGGTTTCCTGTCGAATGTCATCAATCACGTTACATCATACACATTATGAACGCGATATCAAGCAATCTGGATTTATAGTCGCATTACAACTTGATTGAATGTATAATACCAGTACAACAGGTTAGTGAAAAATGACATATGGTTGTATACATTATAATATCAGCTACAAATGACCATTTCATTATAGTTTGCATCGATTTGTAGGTTGGATGATGTGATTTAAATTAATACGATCAAAATTAGATATCCTTTGAGTTCATGACGCACACCTAATCTGATTTAGGACTTGCTGACTAGATAAATCTGCATCTCTGAATCGTTTACCTCATAGACGTCACACAACTGAGCAAATATGACTTTTTGATAGACAATGAAATATAGAGTTGATTCTTGAAGTGAAAGGTGCTTGATTCCAATCTCTGGGTCCACGGTAATGCTGTGATGCAGGAACAGTCAATAAACTAGTCTCAAGTACAATGAAACAAACGCTCTAGATTCCACTGCCAACACATGTTGTCTCCTTCATATAAACTTGTAACATAATAGTTCGTTTGAGTTAATCCATACAAGTTGAATATATCTAAACTAAGATTATTTAACGTCTAGTCAGATAATGAACAACGGAATAATACAAATCATTACAAATTAAATTATGATTCATATGTATTTTAACTCAAATAGTAAATAGCTAACCTGCTGTATTCAAATGACCAGTATTACTGTTTTCTTCTGAGTAGATAGGTAGAAAAATAGGAAGAGTATAACTTATTTTTCTGAATCAATACTTAATTTATGACTGCACGGTTAAAATACATCCTCAAAAGTCTTCAGTTCATCAGAACATAATTCAGTAGTATGATAATGATGCTTAGTCATTACTTCTTATGTAATTGATTATCATCAAATGTCGTTGAACTGGACGATATCAAGTCACTTATTCTTGATTATTAACAGTCGACTAATTACATATTAATCACTGATGTAAAGTTGAAATTTATTCCCATTTACTGAATTGTTGACTTATAATGTATATGAAAGAAATTTTATTATGAATTGAGTTGCATGGTACAATTATTCACACAGACTGAAACTGACTACAGCACTATCAAAAATAATGGAGTGTTTACCAGTCAGTTACTGTCAACTTTTCTCTAGTCTATAGAAATGACTATATATTTCTTCAGTTTAACCATCTGTGATGTTTGAATTAATTAATGTTTTCTTATGTACTTGTTGAATGCTTGATTTCAAATTCCAAATACAATACATTCTTTTGTGCTCATCTAGTACTTATTGATTCAATTGCGTTATTTCTGGGTTTCTTAGTTCATGCTATAATTCAAATAATTCGAAACAGTATATTGGCGTCGCGATGGAGCCTGCGATAGAAAAGTTAGATATTCATTCAACTTCTGAAGCGTTTGAAGATTACTTTGAAAGGTTTGAATTCTGGGCTACGACCAAGGAAGATGATGAGGATGTTAGTATTGAAGCACATTTCCTCACATTCATCGGAAAAGAAGCATATAGCTAATAACAAACTCTGGCTTTACCGGAAAAGCCCATTTCGCTTCTTTATATAGCTCTCAAGTAACTACTGCTAGACTATGTCCAGTATACAAATTTCGAATGCGGTAAAGGAGGAAGATCTCGTAAAATGATTCATGAGGATATCAAAAACACCACTACATTACTACGTCATCCCAACCCAGTGCATACTCAAGGTTATGCATACAATTCATTGAGTTTGGATGCAGTTCATGAGGATTGGGACAAGTTTGGTCAGTGTTTGTCCTGTTGCAATTTCCACTATTCTAATTCATGTGAATTTCGTAATTCTAAGTGCTTCAAATGTCGTGATATTGGACAAGTTCAGTCAGTTTGTAATGCTGATGTTCATCTTACTGTAACTAATATTAAGTCTTGTAATTCTGATTCTACTGAGTCGAGTATTCATGATGACCATTTATCTTTATCAACGATTTCAAAAGACAGTGTGGAGTCATATAGCAGCTCAGAGTTAAACGAAACTCAGCATTCTTGCGAGACAACAGTTTCTAACCAATCGATTTATCAGATTTCTCATGTTATTGTACCAGGTATGATTGTTCCTAATGATCCACCTATTTCTGGCGAAATTTCTTGCAAATCTGAAGAAAAATATGTTGAATGAACCTAGTCATGATCAAAAACCTGATGTAGTTTTAATAGATGCTGATTTTTATAATGATCCTTTAATCTGCAATGACATTCCTAATGAATTCGAGGAAACTATTTCAGAAGAATTAAATCTGGATATTCTATCAAATATTATTTTTCCTCATACTGGATTTGTTTCTCGTGGGAAACTTGTTCAGTGCGAAGCACAAGTACTAAATGACCTTGATTTTAATTACAATTCGGATGATTTTATATGAACTGCTGTTTATCCTTATCACAAAATTACTTCTAATGTTTACTCTAACCAATGCGAGAAATATGTTTTAAACGAAGTCACATTATTCATACCTTGGGGATATAAAGGTCCAACAGAATTTTGTGGTGGGGGATAGTGTTGAAAAATCTATGGTTCGAATCCTAGATATTTATGATTTCATTACAACATCTACATGCTAATTGTATACAATTTCAGGACCCAGGTCAGTCTGTTCCGATTTCGTTTGTTAACTCCAATACTAATGAGCACATTCTAGATACTACAGAGTTTTTATCCATTACATGTCGGACAGATACAGGATGAACTTAAGAAGAAGACGTACAACCTATTACAGACAATTCTATTCCAATTTAAGCTGTGGTGGATGTGGTGTTTGAATTAACTAATGCTTTTTTATGTACTTGTTGAATGCTTGATTTCAAATTCCAAATACAATACATTCTTTTGTGCTCATCTAATACTTCTTCATTCGATGGCGTTATTTCTGGGATTCTTAGTTCATACTACAATTCAAATAATTTGAAACATTATACCATATTTATCAGTTTCTTGTCAATAACCACCTATCTGATTGTTGTCAAATTATCATGATATTTGTGTTAAAATTAGTTCACTATCACAATTTAGTTGGTTACAAAATGGAAATCATATTTGTGAATGTAATATTGAGAAGGTTATGATAATTCAATTTACCTATAACACGTTTCTTCGTAATGTTCATATTTATTGATCGATCTGTGGAATCAAGAATTTTAATGGATAAAATGACATTTTAAACTACTTACAACTGATTGATCACAGAGTATTGGTCTGTGTTTTAACTTATAATGACTTAGATTTCTATTCAATATTACTGATTACTTTCTGATTCAACTTAGTTGAGATGAGAATAAGGCATGACTTATAACAGAACGGATTAGATTGAATATTCTTTGGTTGGTGTTTAACAGTTAAATGTAGAATCAATGTTTTCTACATATCGGTTAAATGTACTTCCATTCAAATATTAACTGATGCTTAAACTTAGCACATAATAATTCAAATGTAAACATAATACTTAAGAAAATAAACAACCTTTAACATACGAATTGGTCAGTAAAGTTTTGTGATTCCGGTTGTTAATAACCAGCACTGATATTTATTTATTAAACATCTCATCGCATTTCATTGCAACATCTTAGTTATTGTATCCTTCAAATGAAATCCTCAAACTAATTAGTTAACTGGAATATGAAGTTTTTTATTGTATGATCAGTTCACGATCGTCACGTAATATACCGTCACATCTTTCCTCAAGTAAAAAAGAAACGGGTGTTCGGAGTGATCTACAATTCAGGCATCCATCAGACGAGTAAATTATGAAACATCTTAAGTATGGAGATTTGTGGAGATTGTAGTATTTTTTTCACAGTTGAATTCACAACTCGATCTAGGTAGATCATCATTGAATATCTGGAAACATTGAGCGGTTGTTTCATCCTACTATGAGACTCTTCAGTAGTGCGCATTTAAGATGCCGTAAGCAGAAATCGAACCTGGTGCTTTGGACTTGCTCAAGAATGCTTATTCTCTAAACTACTGATTCGGTATACAACAGTATTATTGTCTAATTCTAATGGATCTATTATCTTGCTCAACCCTTCATCCATTGCCTGAGTTGGATAACATATTCACCGTAAAATGGAATTATTTTCAAATAACCAAATAAATTATACTAATCATTCTACCTGGTTTATCAGATTTCTTTCCATATTTCTGTGTAAATATGAAGAAAAAGAAAAGTACATACACACATTTAGATTGGATGACATAATCACAACTAGTTTATTGTAGACATCAAAATCTTGATGCATAAATACTTCAAAGTAAAAATCAAATAATAAAAATATCTCATAACGCAGACATCATCAGGGACAAATGTCCTCAATTAGACGTAAGTAACCTTTGACACATTCAAATTTTAGAAACAAATGTCAATCATGAAAATGTTTTGTACGCTATCATTTATTCATTGTATTATAATTTATAAACATTGTTATTCTATAATAGTAATGAGTAATAACTTACAACTATCCAATGTTCATCATTGTTTTTAATATGCAATGAATAAAATGAAATGAAAATTCAATATAACAATGAAATGTTTGTTTACATTTTCATAACATGTTCAATTTGTTATCAATCTGTGTAATTTTTGTTACAACCCAATAAACATAATGAATGGTAACTTTTGCGATCCATTTGTGGACCAATACTATATGTATATTTTTATCGTATAACGGTTAATTAAGTAAACTGTTCATATTCATATTCTTCCTATTATAAGCTTTATTTTGGCTCAGTATATTAATTACTACCTCCCTCATTCACAGCCACATCTGGCTAATTCTTGTACAAATGTTGCTTCATATTTTATTGGTACGTTGTGATCTGTTTAGTTGGGATATAACTCAGTATATTTGAAATATAATGATTCATATTGCAGAGGCTGAGACTGGTGTTCTGGACTTAACTGGCTGGGTTGGGCGGGAAACAGGACTAGTCAGGACTCTAGGCTGCTCGCACGTGTTTTACGCGTCCTTGGTCCGATCGATAATTCACTGTCATCTAATCGGCGATCACAAGATATAACAATTTTTGTTGAGTGATATCAAAAAAAAAACAATTTTATCGAGTAAATTTTATATGCTTTATATTTCGTTAATATAATGATAAAGGTGAAGTGGTTTCGAATACTGTACTTTCATCACTAGGATACATTTAGTAACTCACAATCGTGTTGAATATTTTCTCTAATCAATAAAACATGTTCAATATGGTCCTAATAATTAATTGTACTGTTTTCAAATACACTGTACACTATCTCTAATACATCTTTAACAAAACATCATACATCGCTGTCAATACAACTATTTTATGAATAGCGTTAAGAAGAAATATTATTTAATAGTTCACGAAAAAAATTGGTTGATACAATCATAAGATGAAAATCATGTTTTACAACACGTTAACTGTTCATCTTTCTTCTGATAGAATAAACAATAATAGGTAAATCGATACTATTGGTACACCATACTATTTTTAAAGAAGCCCGAACCTAACAGGAATATATTTTTGATGAATGATCTATATATGTGGCAACTCGTGATTTTATGCATAGCATCATTTTAGCCTTGGCGTTACACAGCATTTTATATTATAACTAATACCAGTCCATAATGAGAACTGAATCTTCATTATTCAAACCTGAACTTTATGATTTATGTGTAACCAATTTCAATCAGAATACTTTTGAAAATCTACTTAGATCATTTTTACAACTCTGGAATTCCTGTGCTCTATATCCTGACAAGAGGATCTTTTCAGTTATGTTATTATCAGCTTACATGAAGAGTAAACTTTAATGTAAAACACGTTCTTTATAAATGATACATTATTGTTCTCTTTCTCAGTAATGGATCCTTCAACAAAGCTGTTTTTTTGATTGAATAAGAAATACTGAAAAAATTGTTGCTGATTTAATCTTGTGTCCGTCTTATATTCGTTATGAAATTAAGTGTGCTCATCGACATTGGACACTGTAATAGTTACCAGTATGCTATCAACGCTACATCTCTTCCATGAGTTCAGGAACACAAAGGCTTATGGGTTATAGTATGTCATGACTTTAATTTACCAAGAAATTGCAAATCAGCAGCTACCAAACGTTTTCGTGAGTTATGGTCACTTCTCCAAGGATTCAAATGCCTTGACAAGGACATGCTTCGAATTTTACATACCGCATATGTAGACCACACCTAAAGTACTGTATTCAAGTAGCTGGTGAATGTCTTATCAAGAATACCTGCTCACATGAAAGTTTTTAGCGAGTAGGAGCGTCTAACCTGTCTGTTTCTTCCATCTAGATATTTCAGCAAGTCATCTAATTATATTTGTTTTAATACATCACAATGGTTTTTAATCACATGACCTATTCATGTACGTTTCTGAAAAGTGTACAACCTTTCGTTGTACAGGTTACAAAAGGCCTGTTCAGAGATATTGTGGTTGCTGATAATACGCAGCGAAAAAATGTACATTTCTAAGATGTCGATAGACTGGACCGCTAACTTCCAGCTGGCAATCACTTATTATTTGTTGACATAACAGATCAAGAAATACGAAAAGGAAAATTGTTGAAATACTTTGGGCTGAAAATTCCGTTTTCTACTAAAAATATAATACCCAATGAAGCTAGTTTTAATAATTAGTGAATGGTCTTTCTTGACTCCCTTACAAATAGCTATTAAAACTCTAAATTACCGACATGGAGGCGAAAAATTCACATTCCCACTTTATTTACGCTTTCATCCGCTTTATTTCCTTCTTCTTCGCTTTTGTTTCCCTTGTATTGATTGCTTGAGTTTTCACTTTTTTCTTATCACAGAGCGTGTGGTCACTCTTCATTGTCATTCCTTATCTTTAATTACTATCTAGATGTTGATATTTCTGATCTTCTTGCTCGCTTCAGAATTAATAATTTCCGAGGACATAGAAAGAAGCTTCAAAAGCCGCCATCTACTAAACTTAGAGCTAGGTTCCGTTTTTCCTCATCGACCCAAACAACCAATAAAGAGGAAATAAAAGCAAACCAATCGAGTGGTCAATTACTGGCATTTCTTGCCTGAACCAGTGATATTGGCCTCATCAGTTAAAAATTTTCAAGAAGAAGCTAACCCCCCACGCACCGATTATCCTAATTAATGAAGACTTTTGCAGGCTAATCACTAAGAATCACATAATGATATTGTAGTTTATATTACATTATGTGATTATTAGTGATTAGCCTGCAAAAGTCTTCATTAATAAAGATAATCGGTGCGTGGGGGGTTAGCTTCTTCTTGAAAATTTTTAACTGAAGTTAATTCGTACGAATTAACTTCAGTTAGACAGCTAATGAGAATTAGACGTCGATACATTTTCGGTTATTAAAGTCACTTTATAAACTTACCTAATTCAGATAAACCAAACATATTCTCATGATAACTTGTAATAATAATCTCTTCTTGGTCTTGTAATGTTTCATCAAAATAAAATGCTGTTTCTTCAACAGAGACAATATGCATTCGATGAAATCCTGTTGAATCTTTTTTAAAAATCACTATTGCATCGTGTGGATTGCAAATTTTTTCGTTTATTTTCCATGTTATATATGCGGGCTTTTTATTTGTCATCCCGATCGTTGTACTTCGCACTCTAAAAACTGAACATTAAAGTGCTGTTTACACTATATTCTTACAAATATAAATAGTTAACAACATAGAATTATCTTTCTTAAATAAGCACTGAAAATGTGGAAACACTAAACAACTGTTTCATCCTAATATACTTAGTAAGAATGTGCACCAAAGATCTCACAACTAAAGATTATCTCCACACAAATAAGCACGGCTTTTCATGATATAATAATGGCCTATTATATGCATTGTTTATTTCAAAATGATATTTCGAGATATCTGAAATCAACAGAAATCATAATATCGATAATTGATATATGCGTATGAGGAGGATAGTGTGCAAACGTAAGATTTGGGATTCTTGTATGCCTCGTCAAATGTTTCATTGTACCAGAGTTTTCGTAAGGTCAGCATTTCCACATGTCCTCTGGTTCGCGTCACTTACTAATAAGTAACGCAATTACAGTAGTTTCGTACGTGCGTGACTGTGCAATCAGAAGTCACATGTGTAGGGAAAGACGTTGAAAGTGGGTAGAGCATTCATAAGGGAAATCACCAAACTTCTTCATGAGTCAAGTGCTAGCTTGGAATCGTGAACGGAACAAACAAAAAGAGGAAAGTCGAAAAACATATTACTCCAGTAATTGGAAACTAACATCAAAATAATGAACAAAAACTGTAAAGAAATAAAAAGGAATGTCCAGGATAGAGTTGAATGCAGAATGTTGTTGTGCAGTTTATATTCTTCCCCAAGGAATGACACTGTTAAGTAAGTAAGTAATCTATAAATCTAAATCATCAATCAAAACTCTTCTTTACAGTTCACCGTTTACTTCTCTTACTTTGAACATATTTTTACAAAAAAAAGTTGGATTTCAACTGTTATTCAGTAATATACTACTAATCATCTTCATCATTTATACTAACAAAATTAGAACTCACTACGTTTATAATTTAATTTCCTTTTTGAATTGACACTATCAATCAAATAAATGTGTAAATGATGATCTGTAATAGTATACTCTTCATTTATACATGCTGTACCAATAGTTTGTAATTTTGATGCAGTTTCATCCATTTTTAATTGTCTTGTTATATCATATTTTTTTGAATTCAGTTTTAATGCACCACTTTTTAATTCAAAAAATGGAGTCCATTCAAAATAGAAATAGTTTTCAGCTTCTTGTAATAACCAAAATGTTGGTTCTTTTAAACTATCTATATATATATATATAAATATAGAAGAAAATCACATAAACAACAATATAAACATGATTGTAAAGTCTTATATACATCAATGCATAAATAATTCTTCTAATCTGTATGATCATTGAAAACTTGAAAGCTCTGGACGATTGTTTCATCTCCATAAATCTCTATTTTGATAATAATAACCATGTAATTACTAGTATCTAGCTTAAAGATAGATTTTTCTTGAAGTTGCAATGAGTACCTGTGACTAGTGGAGTCTTATCTACCTAAAGCAATGGATGAAACGTTAGACATTGTTGTTATATCCGAGTGAAGATTAAATTACGGGTAACTTCTGAGGACCATTAATCGACTAATATTCTATAAATATTCTTATTGTATAATTATTCAATACTTAGACTATGTATATTCATATTCCCCTTATTATAAGCTTTATTTTGACGTATAATATATTATTATATGATTTACGGTTCTTAAGCTATGTTCATTCTATTAATTATTATCTCCCGCGTTCACAGTCACTTATTGGCTTTATTGTGTACACATGTTATTTTCTATTTTATGGTAAGATGTGGTCTGTTTGGTTGATAGATAAACCAAGTATGTCTGAAATAAATGATTTGATTTGATTCATATTACAGAAGCTGGTATTGTGTTCTGGACTCAAGTGGATGGGCTAGAAAGACATAGGACCAATAAGGACGCTAGACTACTTATACTGGTTGAACGTTATTGGTTTGGCATAGTGTGAAGATCTGCATAAGTCGTATCCTGATTGGTGGATAAGTCATGTGATAAAAAGCTGGACATCAAATCATAACTATTAACATTGTCGGATACCGACTAATTAGTCTGAAGGTGTGCGAGTTCGAAGCTCCTTGGTTCGATTCTCTCTTGTAGGATTGTAGGTGCACACTGATAATAAGTTTCATAATAGGACGATAAAACCGTCCAATGTTTCCAGATTTTTAATAGTTTTACAATTTAGATGAATTCATAATTTTGATGAAACTTTTTTATTATTCCTATCAGTGTTACTCATATTACTGTCATGAAAGTGACTTGATAAAATCCTGACATTATTGTTGGTACAGGTGTTTGTTATGACTGTCGAATAAACTGACAGCGTCTTGATATACAAATGACTACAAGACTATATATTAATGTAAATTTATTTATGTATCAACTATGGATTCATAACTGATTAAAACAACATCAAAATGCACAATGAATATATTTATATCATTTTAAATGTCCAATCAATAAGTTAACTTGAATGTATTGAGTTGTCTCTAATTAATATTAATTATTATCAGAATGGGTTTTGAGGAGATTTTTAGAAATTTCGTTAGTTTAATTCTTGAGTGAATTGAAGCTAGACCACCATGTAAAACCTGGAAGCACGGCATGACCGTTTCGTCCCGGTATGGAACTCCTCAGAAGTGTTCGCGCGCGAAACCAGTAGGTCCTGGGTTCGAATCACGCGGGGTGCGGGATCGTGGATGCGCACTTCTGAGGACTACCATACCAGGACGAAACGGCCGTCCAGTGCTTCCAGGTTTTCCATGACGGTCTGACTTCAATTGACACATGATTTAGACCAATGAAACAATATTAATTAATCAATAATTCAACTTTTGAAAAATTAATAGAATACATTGTTTTGTTAAAAATGAAACTAAAATTTAATAGTTGAATTCATGTGTCGATTAAATCTAGTCCACTATGAGAAACCTTGAAGGAATTGACGGCCGTTTCGTCCTAGTATGGGACTACTCAACATTACATATCCACGCTTCCGCATGCGAGATCCGAACCAAGTACCTTTGGTCTCGCGCGCGAGTAATCAACTTCTAGAATACTGATCCAGCATCCGAACGGGTCTGTTGTGAAGTAGTTAATCACTGAAGACAATGGTGAATGGCGGAGCAATTTCGTGGATTAGTTGAAGTTAGACATTAACACCGATGAATGTCGGCTCGTTAATCTAGAGGTTAAACGTTCACTCATGCGACCAAAGATCATGAATTCAAATCCCACGAGCAAGAGCGTAGGTGTGTATTGCTGAGTAATGCTATAATAAGATGAAACGTCAGTCCATTGCTTTCAGATTCTCCACAAAACCTTTTTCTGATAAAAAAAAGGAATATATATATTCAATATTGATTTTCTATTCAATATTCAACTATTATTGGTATTTACCAAGGTCAACTACGATATTGATACCGATAAACAAAATATCCTCTTATGTTGTATAACTAAATACATACAAAAACAATAATAATTGACTTACTTTCATCGACATTGTCTGCTAAATTGACATTGACATTGGATTCAACAATAATCATCTGTAGTATAACTATAAATATTGAAAGAATAAAACTTAAATTAGATAGAATTGTAGATAGAACTAACTGATGATTATAATCTGAATCATAACAACATTGGTTATGATATTATTCTATATTTAGAAAGAATATGAATTGCCATCATTTGGACAAAGTTTGAATTCTATTTTTTTTTTGATGATCAACATTAAGATGAAGATATATTTAACTGATTAGTCCTAAATGGAACTCCACTGTTAATTACATATCTGTCTAAGCTATGAAAACTCCACCTGTAGCTCTTCTAGAGTTACTGCCGGTCCCAAGCCTGAGTAAAGGAGGAGGGTTGGGCATGGGGTTAGTGACCCCATCCTGTAGAAAAGTAACTCGCTAAAAAGACTCTAAGCTATGAAAGAAAAATCCCTAGCTGTATGCATTTTAAGCATTCCAAACTAGAATTTTGTTTAAATTGATTCAATTTTAGTAGTATTTCTTAAAGAAGTCAAACAAACTATAAACTATAAATGGCCATCCAGTACTTCCGGGTTTTTAACGGTGATCTAACATCAATCGGTTTATGATCTCAATCAAAAACTTAATAATCTCTACAACCCCTATACTGATATGAACCACTGGTTATTCAATATTGATGAATACGATTTCATGATGACTGACATTATTTCCGTGGATTGGTTGAGGTTACACATTAACACCGTTAGATGTCGGCCGGCTCAGTGATCTAGTAGATTAAGCATTCACGCGAGATTGACGACCCTTAGTATGAATCCCACGAGTGGGATCGTGGATGCACACTGCTGAGAAATCCCACAATAGGACGAACCAGCTGTCCAGTGCTTACAGGTTTTCAGCGATGGTCTAACATCAATAGATTTAAGATCTCAATTATTTTCCAGGTTAATTAGTTATTTGATTATGTGATAAATGGAATATGACAAACAAACACTGTTTTAAAAGAGAATTTAAAATGATCATATTAAACTTGAAAAAAAGTGTTCATATTTGAGTCATTTTCGTATTGGCTGTTAGAATATTCCCATTGATGTTGAGAACTTCAATTAATTCATATCTTATTGGAATATGTGCAACATGTGAGGATTGCTTTGATATAGCTATAATTCACAAGCATTATAAGCAGAGATAGATGATAGTTGGTAGTTGAATCCAGAATGAGCGCTTCTTTTCCTATATGCGAATCGTTAACTGAACCTATCATCACTTTTCAGAGTATAGTTTATTGAACATTATATTGTCTTCCTTTAAACTGTGGGAATAAAACTGTTTTATATATTTCTTTCTATCAACTAATCCATTCTTCCTGTATTACATCCTTATACACAATCTTTGTTTAATACATTACCACCATTAAAGTGACTACTTCTATGAATTTGGTTTTCATCTTATTGTGCTAATGTGATATAGCATGTTGAACCGATGTATATTTATACGTGGTCCTACGTTGTAACTGACTGATTGACTGAATTTATTCAAAAATATCCATGGGCAAGACTCTAACTTATGGTCTCATAATTTGGCGCGAAATTCATTCATATATTTGGTTAAATACTATTTCGTCATTATAGCTGATATCAGTTCGTGATAAAAAAGAACTCTAAATCTAATTTCTAACCTTAATCATCAACTGTAAATCATAATTCAAATTTCTCACACCGACTTATAACCCTCATTTGGTTCTGGTTATTAAAGGGATACACTCAAGGTCAGTATAACGTCACTCAAAGGTATCACCATATTCATGTATTCATTCATTCTGAGGAAAAATTACATGTTTTTCTGCATTAAAATCACATTAGAATAGGTTAAGATAATTTTAGACACTGATCAAGATTATAACACTAAACTAACTTATAATGAAAATGTTTGAATATCAGAATTTCACTTATGGTATGAATGATTATGTCATTCAATTATGATAGATTACTGTTTATGTTACATTTATTAAGTTTACAATAAAGCACTGAATGGTTAAGTCGACTAATCATAACAACAACGATGATTACTAGATTAGGTTATTTCATGTTAATACATATCAAAGCATGATAGTAATAACTTCATCTATTCGAACTTGTAACTATGTCATTGTACTAATATGTTAATATTACTTAATTGTAATCAATCTATATACAAATAATGAACACTTTCTATCAATTTGCTCCCTCTTAATATACTGAAAACTATGTCATAATAACTAATTTAGAGTATTATAATTGTTTCATTAGATAGTCTTATTCAAGTTTATAAATATATTACCCTTTACTATTGTTTAACATTAACTCATTGCCAAACTATTATAAAATAGAGTATCACTTTAGATTTAAACAGAAATTCCTAAAGAGAAAACATTTAATACACTTTTAATTTAATGGTTGAATTCATGATTAGACCACCATGGAAAACCTGGAAGTACTTGAATGGTCGTTTCGTCCTAATATGGGACTGCTCAGCAGTGTGCACCTACGATCCTGCACGCAGGATTCAATCCAGGACCTTTGACCTAACCTCTAGAACATTAAGCCGATATCTGACGGTGGTATTGTCTAACTTAAATCAACCCTCACAAAAATGCATCACCGTCCACCATTATGTTCAGTGAGCTACGGCCTCACAACAGACACGGTTGAACTCTATTAGCCATGTCTACTCACTAGAATTGCAGGAAACATACTTTGAAGCTAATCATTAGTGAGTACATTCTGATGATTGTCAAGAATGAGAAATTTGTAGAAATTGTAGTAATTTTATGATTAAATTTATGAATCATTTCTAGGTTTTCCCATGGTGATTTATCATAAAGCAAATCATCAATTCAGCCATTAAATTATTACCATTTCTATAACCCCCTTATTCTTGCAATTTTAATTCTCCAAAAAGATAAAACACAAAACAGTAATATTTCAACTTACTGTATAAAACAATCACATATAAACAAATGAATAGTCTGAACACCATGATTACACACAGATTAATTAAAGTTATATCTAATGTCCAAAATACATCTACAGCTTATATAGTGTTACCAATTTAATCAGAAATCGTATGATCATCCGATATTTACCTTGTGATTTTCAATTAGTTACTATCTAATTAGTTCTATTCAACGGTGAAAAAAAACAACAAATATTTTTATAAATATTTTTATGTATCCAACAGAAAAATATAGAAAACAAATGATTACCTTAGAAAATTTTATTCATCATAGATAGATAGATAGATAGATAGATAGATAGATAGATAGATAGATAGATAGATAGATAGATAGATAGATAGATAGATAGATAGATAGATAGATAGTAGATAGATAGATAGATAGATAGATAGATAGATAGATAGATAGATAGATAGATAGATAGATAGATAGATAGATAGATAGATAGATAGATAGATAGATAGATAGATAGATAGATAGATAGATAGATAGATAGATAGATAGATAGATAGATAGATAGATAGATAGATAGATAGATAGATAGATAGATAGATAGATAGATAGATAGATAGATAGATAGATAGATAGATAGATAGATAGATAGATAGATAGATAGATAGATAGATAGATAGATAGATAGATAGATAGATAGATAGATAGATAGATAGATAGATAGATAGATAGATAGATAGATAGATAGATAGATAGATAGATAGATAGATAGATAGATAGATAGATAGATAGATAGATAGATAGATAGATAGATAGTATTTACAGAAAGAATAGAACTGATGAAGTGATTAAGTTCAAGGACATGTTAAATAAAACTTACTTATTTGCGCATGGTAATCCCAACGGAGTATAGAGCCGCTCAGCAGTATTCTCCAACCCACTCTGTCCTGGGCCTACCTTTCTAGTTCAATCCAATTGTTGTTCATTCTTCTCACGTCTGTGTCACGTTAATGTGTTCTTCGGTCTTCCTCTTTTCTTTTGAGCATTCCAGGTGAGGGCTTGCCTATACATTTTTAAAATCACACCTTGCTCTAATTTTTTTTAAATATTACTTATTTACGCATGTTAGCCCTCATGGAGGAGTATAGACCGCTCACTAGCATTATCTATCCAATTCTGTCCTGAGCAATCCTTTTCATGTCTGCTCCTAATTAAACGCTTTATATATATAACATGAATTAAAAAGAAAACAAAAATGGTTGGGACTATAATTTATGGATGAACCAATAAGATATAAGATGATTAGTTTAATGATTTTCCATGAGTGACCTCTAGGGAGCTCTAAAAATCTCAGAGATGACAAAGATATTCCATCCAATCATATTTTGGAGGAACATCCCAGAATCTTGATATGGATCATCCCCATTGGACAAATGCTAAAAACTACTATATGAGGATCGTACGACTATAATGATGATTTCGCTTTTACTAAAAACTGTAAATACCTGAGAGTTTTGTATCATATTTGCTACTACTTGGAATATTATTTCTTCTGACTTCTCTTCTGTTTTCTCATTTATGACTTGGAGAGCTTTAGCACTCGAGTGCTCAAGCAGTAAGCGGTTTGAAAAGAATCTAAGCTTCAAATATAACAACAGGTTTTGGATTTTGGCACAAAACTCATTCATTCATCTGGATAAACAGTATTTCGGCATTTTAACTAATGTTAGTTCGTGATGAAAACTCTAAATCTAGTTCCTGATTCTAACCATCAACTGTAAAACATACTTCTAATTCCTCACATTGTTTTAAAAACCTCATTTAATCCAAGTTAGTACTCAACGTCATACCGACGTCACTCGAAGGTCATACATAAATTATAGTCTCATCCAAAGTTGTTTAAACATTGAATAGGTTTTGTACAAGTTGTATTTAAATATGTAATTATAAGCCAATTTGCTTATATGGAGCTGGTTATTTATATTTGACTGACTGATGTTATGTTTATCAAGTCTTCCTTAGTGTTGATCGAATTTCATCGGTCAAGTTGTAATGTGGCTAATCAACTAGTTTACTCTGTAAAATGGTTAAATATTTATGAAATGAAACCTCAAACATTCACCCAGCTTCATAGTCAAAGACATTACTATAGAGCTATTCGACCGTAATCCATCTTCTGTATGAGTAAGATGTTACGATTAATTAATCACTAAGTAGTGACCAATGTCACATTTGTCAAGTCATTTTTAATGCTAATCAGATTTGCTAAATCAAGTTACAAGGTTCCCACCTAACAGCTTCGCTTTGCCTTGAAAATTGTGTAGTGGTACCAAAATCAATAGTAAAAAAGATATATATATATATATATATATATATATATACCATGTATAAACTGATTAATAATCATGATACAATTAGTTGCTTATCAGTACCTTATAACTTTGATCGTTCAATTTGATCCGATCATAATTAATATTTGATAGATATACTTTTTAAACAATAAATATATGGTATTTTAACAAAAGAATAATCTCGATCAATATTCTAATCAGCAACTATAAATGTGTAAAAGTAGATATGCTAGTAACTAAATAAATGAATAATGATAGAAGAGATTACTCAGAGTACTGTATGTAGCATGTGTTTACAATGTTTTATATTCAATAACAATGTACAAATTAAGTGAAACTATAGAAGAAATGAATAATAATAATAATAATAATGATTATTATTCACAAACGTTCCATTTGTTTACAGCTCCTCATAGAGTGTTCAACGAGTACAATGATAGAAAACTATGTACATGAATACAGAATACTCCATAAAGGTGAACATATTAATTTACATTAAGTAATTAGATGAATAGTAACAATAATAATTATTATATATATATAGCGTGTGAGGTAGTGATGTGCGTGGTATACTTATACATAGAATTGTCATACACGTATGTGACCTTGAGCATACAGAAAGAAAACAATATTAATCACGTTCAGTACAAGAACATCTCTGTTGTGAACACACAGAAATCAGTGATGTAACACAAAAGAATAATAAAAATGAGCTAAATATGTAAACATATTTATTCTATAGACTTCACGTTAGAAAGGGGACGGGACCAATCAATTCCTTTTCTCGATGTACGTCTGATGAGAAAGAGTAATGGTTCTTTAAAAAGATCCATCTTTAGAAAACAAACATGGAACGGACAGCTAACCAACTTCTATAGCTGAGTTCCGTTAAGTAGAAAGTGAAACCTTATCCACTCTTTATTTTATCGAATACGTCAGATATGCAGTAAGGAATGCATTAACGAAGAACTTGAATTCCTCAAGAAAACCCTGACGGAAAATGGATACCCAGAACGGTTCATAGAAAAGAATATTTATATATGAAAACGTTATCAGAATTCAAATATTTATATAAGAATAAATATTCGGCGAGGCAAGCCCTAACTTGGAATCGTGAAAGGAAGCGGAAAAGGGGAAGACCTTAGAACACGCTACGTCGGAAAATAGAAGCAAATATAAAGAAAGATGAATAGTAACTGGAATGAACTTGAAAAGATGGCCCAAGACAGGGTTGGATGGAGATTGCTGGTGGGTGGTCTATGCTTTTCGACGAGGAATAACAGGCATAAGTAATTAAGTGAGTGTTCGGCGATAGGAAAAGACTATGAGTTTAAATGCAAACAAGAAATATTTAAAAATATTTACATAAGAAACTGGCTAGCAAACTACACGTCACGTTGTGGTTTATTTATTGCCCTATTGGAATGAGTTGTCTATGTAGGGTTTGAAGTAGAGTTACTACTGGTTTTCAGTTTATATGAAACAGGATGAAACTTACTTCTTCATATTGGTATTGTCATTCTTTTCACTGATTGTTTACAACATCTGGCTCCATTCCCTCCTACAGAAACAATTTTCTATTTAACGTTCTTGTCGACGATGAAGTGTTCCTCCACACGGTTTATTACACGACCGAGACCTTTGCAAATGGTTTTTAAATGACTGTTTAACTGATTCAGTATGTGCGTATATAAATTTACAATTAATCAGATATTTCCCAACTTTTTCTCGTTGAGTATGTATGAGTAAATGACTTTTTTATAGTTCACAGTTTATTCAAATGATGCTTCGAAAACTTGATCGGTCATTTTATATTTTTATTATCTTTACTGACTAGTTAGTCTGGTAAAGCAAAGGTTGTACAGTGGAAAAAGTTTGGTTGTTGCTCATCTGACGTCGTTCTTATTTGCTGATCAAGCTTCAAGAAGAATAAGAGGGAAGAGGTTACTGCACTTCGTTATTTCAGCCTATAAAACAAGCGAGTATTTTAATTTTATGGAGAATCTTTCCATCGCCCTGTTCAAAAGTCTTTCGCTGTAATTTTATGTACTCTTAAGTATAATACTGACTAGAATTGTAAAACACAGCGTTTGATGATGGTTGATGGGACTCTGAACATGGAAATCCAGTGATGGAGGAATACTGAAAAAGTTCTCTTGAAATCACCCTTCCTAGTAAATATGTGCTCATAAATGAGCTAACTTGGGTTCAAGCTCACCTACAGGTCTCTTTGTCTTCCCTTAAACCGTGAGATTAAAATTACTTTATCTCTTTCTTTATACGCTTCAGGACTGACTTGCGTCAACACCTGGAGTAAGAATAGGAGTGAAGTAATCCGATGCGTTGACAGCTTCACTTGTCTTGGAAGTCTGATCATCCCCAATGGGTTGGTGTTTGAGGAAATCTTAGCACCGATCCGAAAAGCTCGTTTGGTTTTTGCTGGGGCGAGATATCCGTCTATCAATAAAAGGACGAGTATACTGCGCGGCTGTCCGTTCTGTTTTAATTTACGGCAGCGAAACGTGGCCATCAAGAGTTGAAGATACTCGTAAGCTACTAGTATTTGATCACAGATGCCTTAGAAATATTGCTGGAGTCTGCTGGGATCACCGAGTAAGTAATAGTGAGGTTAGACGTAGGGTATTAGGAAATGATGGTAAATCAGTCGATCAGGTTGTGAATCTTCATCGATGAGATCGGTTGGGTCACGTGTTACGTAT